CTCGGTGGGGGGGCCCTACCCCGAGGCCTGGGCCGGCCGGTGGCGGCCGTCTCGGGGCATGGCCCGTGGGCCAGGCTCTGTTCTCTAGACCTGCGCGGAGCGCAGACCGCCCTCGCCGGGCGCGCCAGCAGCTGCCGTGGCATGCTGGACCCCTGGACCTCCTCGACATCCCTCTCCACCTCCTCCTGAGCCTCCTCCTCCTCCTCCTCCTCCCCTCCCTTCCTCTCCTCCCTCCCTCCCCTCCCTCCCTCCCTCCCCTCCCTCCCACCTCCCTCCTCCCTCCTCCCTCCTCCCTCCCTCCCTCCCTTTCTCTCCTTCTACCTCCCTCCCTCATCACCATCAAGCGCATGTCCTTCAAAATCAAGGCCCGCCGCAAGAAAGCACGCGTCGCCGTCGCTTGCGTACGCTATCCACCCGTGTCGCACACCCCGATCGGCCTGGAACGCCTTCTTCGCCGTGGTCGCCTTGTTCACACCTGCATTGACCTTTTCGGGAGCCCCTCCCTACCGCGTAACTAAGCGCGTATGCCAACAGGGCCCCCACCCCTCATCTGACTTCCAGAAAAAGGTCGAGGAGAAGGAGGTGAATCTCGACACGTACGGCTCGCTCTAGAAGCACTGGATCGAAACATGTTGACACGAGATCGTTTTCCCCAGCCATCCTCTGGTCGTGAGTCCTCGTTGCGAAGAGACAGCGCCCCACGTCTCACTCCTCCTTCCTCCTGATGCCTCGTCCCCCGCATCCCTCCTTCCATCCTTGCCTCTGCCCTGCGTATGTGCATGCCGGCACGCCCCTCACATGTCTCGGGACCACGAGGAAGCTTCAACCAATGTCCCAATGCCACCGTTCGCATGCGTCTCCCATCCATTACGGCACGCCCGTCACAAGGTCCGTGGCCCCACAAGGAGGAGATCCTCCCAACACCCCAGCGCCACCGTTCGCACGCGTCTCCGCCGCCCATTGCGGCGCACCTGTCACACGATTCGTGGCCCCTATCAGAAGCTCCAACCATGGCCCTGGTGCCATCGTTCACGTGACTGTCCCCCGCATATTGCGGCACACCCCTCACACGTTTCGTGGCCACTATCGGAAGCTCCACCAATGGCCCTGGTCCCACCGTTCACATGCGTCTCCCCTGCCCATTACGGAACACCCCTCACGCGGCTCGTGGCCCCTACCGGGAGCTCCACTCAAGGCACCAGTGCCTCCGTTCACATGCGTCTCCCCTGGCCATTCAGGCGCACCCTTTACACGGATCGTGGCCCCTATCGTGAACTCCACCCAAGGCACCAGTGCCACCGTTCGCATTCGCCTCCCCCGCCCACTACGGTACACCCCACACACGGTTCGTGTCGTGGCCCCATAGGAAGCTCCACCCAAGGTCCCAGCGACACCATTCGCACGCGGGCCCCCCCACCCATTACGGCACACCCATCATACGCGTCGTGGCCCCCCATTTTATCCCATCTGCCTTGCGATACTGGCAGCTGCATGTGGTTGGGTCCTTCGCCCGGATAGTTTGATTCCCCCCCGTAACGACTGCTACCAGGAGGGAGGTCGGGCCTGCGAGCGCCACAGCATGCGTGTGAGCACCAGGACACGTATGTCATCACCAAAGCACTTCAGTGAACACCGCGCCATGCCTGTGGGTGGAACGGCACCCCCACCGCGCACGCTCGGTCCCGTTACGGCCGTTACGGGGCGGGGGAGGGGCGGGGAGGGGCCACCCTCCGTAACGGAAATTACTGGCTCCTGAATAAATCAATGAGCTGTTTGCCTCCGCCTGCTTCCGCCCGCCTTCCGCAGGAAGAGCCGCCGACAGCCTTTACTTCCGCCAACTTCCGCGGGCCTTCGGTCGAAGAAGCGAAGACACATTCTCGAACCACCGAACCCGAGACCCTTTCTGGAGCGCCCCACGTACACTGGGAGGGAGGAGGGAGGAGGTAGGAGGCAGGAGTTAGGAGGAAGCAAGAAGGGGGAGGGAGGAAGGACGAGGACGACGAGGTAGAGGAGGAGGAGGAGGAGCAGGAGGAGGAGGAGGAGAAGGA